AAAAAAAAGGCAAAACAGAGAAAACAAAAGCACAATTAGTGATGGAAAGTGGAGGGGGAACTAAAAGGGTATCCGGGGAGCTAGAAAGTTCTCATATTCCCTGTCTTCAGCCCACCGGCCCCTCGGTTTGCTTTGCCGTCGGCCAGATGGCAGCCAGCAGAGAGCCCGGGCAGATGGCGAGGGCCGGCCGGTTTGCCAGCGGTGCCTGATCGATACTGGGACGAGCAGTAAAGGGACATTTGTCTTCTGCTGCCTGATTTACTTCGGTGTGCCCTAGTGCCAGACCCTCAAGCAGCAGCCGGTTTGGGGGGAGTTTGCCCAGGAAATGAGCAGGTCTTTGCCGTAGCAACGATGGGGCGCGTTCGCTGGAGCCTGCACCCCAAAAATCAAAGCGACTCTAGTCCCGAGGATGCTCCCGTGGGTCCGTGGGGATGGGAGCTGCTGCGTCCCACACGGCTACGGCTGCTGGGCGCTGACGGCAGGAGGCAGTTACCCACCTTACTGCGGAGCATCTTCCTCGCCGACCGCTTTCCCATCTCTCTTGGTGGCTGTTTCAGCTGCCCCAAACCATTCCGGTACTTCTGAAGTTGTGCTTAACATTTAACCTAGATTTTCTCTGCTGCCACTTAAGCACTCTGTAGTTATTTTGGCTCATTAAATTTATGACAGCAATTAATCCTGGTCCTCTTTACAGCACCAGAACCTTCGTTATCATGAGCCTGCTCCACGGCCCCGTCCCTCTGCGCTGGCCCGAAGCCTGGCAGACTCGGGTGGGTTACACGTGGGGTGGGATTTGGGTTGTTTGGTGGCTGTTTGAAGAATTCAGAGTCAGGCAGAAGTGCTGTGAATGGCTGGACATGAAACACATAAGTTGCATGACTTTTACCTCTTTCTTTCTCCTGTAACAGCGAATTGCTTTGCGGGTTGAAGTTGTCGTGTTGCAAAGAGGACAAAGAAAGTGTGTTCGGCAGAGCAGCTCCCACCAAACCCTGCTCTGGCCCTGTCTGTGCTCCCGGGGGGCTGCGTCCTGCAGATCGGTGCCCCCGGTCTTGCTTTGAGCTGCAGCTCACTGGGGGTTTATCCCCAGCAAAAGCACTGGGGATACTGGTGTACTCCCAAACCTTTTCGTTGTAGAGAAGGGGAGCTGCAGAATATCTCCTGCCCGGCCTCGATTTCTCAAGCGATGCGAGTCGTTTGGGCGCAGACTCTGCCAACAACCCGTCTCCTGCCAGGAGCTGCTCACTGAGGTTGCTCCTGCTTCTTTCACTGCTGTCACCAACGTTGCCTCCTTGTGTCTTCCAAAATAGTGATGTGATCAGCAGAATTTCTCAAGTGCGTTAAAAAAAGTAATGAGTAGAGGAGCCAAGGTGAGATGATAAGTTAGCTGCCACTTTTCTCATTATTTGTGCTGTGTTGGAAGAGCCACACATGCCAGCCAGTTAAATAAATGGCTCCGTGGTACAGGGCGCTTGAGCCATAGCCCTTGTAAAAGTGTCTTTTCTTCTTTGTCACCAGTAAAGATTTTTATATGTCCTGCTTATGCCATCCCTAGGATCATGTTAGCTGCTGTAACTGTGTGAGGCTCATTCTTGGGATTATAATGTTCCACTTTGAAGGGGGAATGTGAGACCTGAGTAGAATAGATGGCAAAAGGCCTCTCTTGCTATTTCCAGATGCATGTCTCTGTCCAAGTACAATCTGGCTAATTAAAACCCTGCAAGGTCTCCAGTCTGCAGTGCACATCTTGCACTCCTTCACCCTGAAACCTAAGCCTGCCAGATGTGCTGCAAATATAGGACTCTGCTTGTCCTCGTCTGACGGAGACCGTGAATGAGGGGGTTGGTCAGATGAACCGTCTATTTATAGCTGTAAGTGCAGAGTAAGAATGAGAAAGTCGAGGATTACTGGGGCGAATTGGAGGCTTGCAGCTGCTGGGCAGCTGTCTCAGGGACCCTGCAAATGCACTTCCAGCCTGGACCCCGCGGTGGCTCTGAGGTCTTCTGGCTCTTAACCCCGGCCACAGGGCTGGAAATTTGGGTTTGTTTTTTGGTTGTCTTATTTTAGCTCCTTCTCTCTTCTCCTCCTCTTTCTTTTGCACTTCCTGGTGGTTCTGGCTCTTTCATCAGCGGAGAAGAAGCACCGCCGTGGTTTGGACAGGGTTTTGGCATGGTGGGTTTGTCCTAAGGGACTCACTTGGGCTCATACTTGAATTCTTGAGGCTGGTTACAAATTCATCAACTTCCCAGAGTAG